TACTTTTCTCCCTTTTAATTCAATGATTTTGAGGGCTGGGGAGATAGCTCAGTGCCATTGGCACCCACCTGGCAAGCACGTGGTCCTGAGTTCAATCCCCAGTACCAGAAAAAAAAAAAAAAAGCTGATAATTCAATGATTTTGTTTTTGAATTAAGGGCTTTTATCACTCATTTACTATTTAACAAAGAAATATGCCAGCAAATACTCTGTACCACCAGTATGTTAAATACTGTAAGAACAACAAAATTGTAGTCCTCTGCTCGTCTTTTTATGGGAGCTTTATGAATTAGAGTCCATTTTCCCTGTCTTCTTAAGCAAGACAAATGTCCTTTTTCAATGTCATGATGCCATAGAAATAACCAGGCTGGGTTTGGGCTCCTGGTGAGTCCTTGACCTCAGAAGTTGAGTCACTGGCAGATCATAGATCAAATCCCAGTTCTCTTAATTCTGGCCATGTGACCTGGGACCACTCATATTCCTGTTCTGGGCCTCAAGTTTTCCCTATACAGTGGACACAACATGAGGCACACGTGTCACAAGAGGAGGCACACGTGTCACATACTAAGTAGCTGCCTGGTATTTCACGTGTGCCCTGTAAATGTCAGCAAAACCCAAACAACCACTCGCTGAAGGTCTAGCTGTCCGTCTGCGTTGAGTTTGCAACATTGTGCTGGATACCGCTTGCCCTTCTGTATCGGGTGACTCACCTAAGGGGAACCCTCAGAGAAAGGCCCAATTTCTTTCTGGTTCCACAGTGGCCAGCACAGAACAAGCGTGGGATGTGTTTGTTGAATGACTGCTGCCCCTGCACTGAAGGCCCCATGTGCTGCCTATGGGCATGGGGCTCTGCTGCCTCTTCTGTAGGTGCCCCTGTGGCTTGCAACCATGCAGGCAGGGTGCTGTGCCCTAATTGGTGCTGGGCGTCTCCACAAGCCCCTTCCTCTGAGCTGCCTCTTCCCTACCCTCACTGGCCCCTCCATTGTTCCAGGGGCCAGGGGCAGGAGGGGTTCCAGGCACTGCCAGCATGGCTCTGACTCAAATCACCCAAGTGGGCTGGGTCCTCTAGGAGCCACTCTGCACCCGTGCTTGGTCTCAAACCCTCACGCCCATCCTGATATATTCTCCTCTCCCTCCCATGAGCAGCATTTCAGAGATAAGAGCTTGGCCCCAAAGTCACAAAGCAGGTGTGAGGGGCTCAGTGTTCAAATCCAGCCAGTGGGAATCCAGACACTGGGCCTGCAGGCTCAGACTCCTCTCCACTCTGCCAGAGTCCTGGGTGGCCTGTCCATTTGTCCTTCCCTTCAAGATCCAGCCCAGGTGGTCCCAGGACATGAGACCCACCAGGAAGAGAAGGGGTGTAGTCCTGACTTGGGCTGCCTTCACTCCCAACAAACAAAGCCCAGGATCTTGCTCCTGAGCAGGGACTTCCCCAAAGTGCCAGGCTTACTTCCTGTAGGTAGAATAAAGGACATATAAATCAGAGACTCAGAAACTGAAACTAAGGGGAGAGGAACAGAATTACTAGGCTGTACTAGGGGTCCAGTGTCAATAGCCAGCCACAAAGAGGGAAGGTATATGGAAAAACCGAAGCAGAAAATGGAAAAGAGTAAAGGAAGATACAGATAGCAAAACAGACTCGTAGATGGGTAAGGAGGGGGCATGACAGAAATTCAGCAGGACAGAGATTTGAGAAAGAGGCAGAGAATGGGAGGAGAGGTGCAGGGGCCTCGGGAGCTGGAGGGAGGATGGAGACTGAGACCCTGCTCCCCGTTCCGGGCAGCAGAGGGGGCGGGCCTGCTGGCAGCAGCAGAGGCTGTTTCCGCTGCACCCCTTATCAGCCTGCTGCCAGATGTTCAGATCCGATGCCAATGTCAGAGAAGTCCGTAGTCCTGGGTCAAGGCCGTGGCCGGCGGGAGCCTCAGCTGCAGTGTGGGGAGGGGGGCTGGGGGCCTGCACTAGAGTCACACACCCCCACCACCCCCACCCCCATCTTGTGGCTCTTGAGACTGGACCACCTGGTGGGGGGTGGGAGAGCCAGGTGCCCCTGGAGGCCATTTCTCTAGACTGAGAGCAGGGACATTTGTGGAGGCGGAATGGGGCTCCTGGCAACACGTGGGCTCCGTGTGTCTCTGCACACCCCCACATCTGAGGATGCACGTGGACACATGCATACAGGAGTGTGCCGTGCACATGCAGCACCTCTCTGTACCGGTACCTCCAGCCTGCTGCTGCCCCTGTGCTGCCCCCAGTCCTCTTCCAAGAGCTGAGACTGCAGCCAGAGCTGGATGAGCATAGCAAGAACCTAACAGGCAGAACTGGGGACCTGAGATCTTCCAGACGAGGCCTGCTGGAGGCCCCCAGAGTGAGGCCGAGGCTGGAAGCTGGGGGGACTCCAGCCTTGGACCCAGGCCTCTCCATGCTGCTCGAGCAGGCAGTGCAGCTGGAAGCCCTTCCTGGGTAGCTTATCTCACGGTGCACACGCTTGGCCCTCAAGGGGTGACCCAGCCTTGCTCCCCACATTCCTTTTCAGCCATACAGTTGCTGGGCCCCCCACAGCCTTGTGTCTGGGCCTGAGTTTGAGGGGTGGTCAGGAGCCACTGCTAAGGAGTTTTTTCTCTGCTTCTTTGGCCCCTCCCTCTGCAGCCATGGCTGGTGCTCTCTGCTCTCATCTCCAGGCATCTAATTTTGCCTCTGTCATGATTGATCTGTCACTTATACTCCTGGATCTCTTTTGGATTGTCCCAATCTCTCTGCTACTTTCAGTTTCTTTGCTTTCCCTCCAGGGTCCTTGAACAGGACCAAATCTGAGGAAATCTCTGCCCTTCTTTCTGGCTTGCAGTGACCAGCCTCCTACGGTACAACTGAGGCCATGGCGAGGGAACAAAGGGTCTAGGAAAGCATAGGACTGTCACAGAAGAAATGGGGCAGCAGCAAAATTCAGGCGCCCTTTCACCCACCTGCCAGGAGTGAGCCTGGATAAGGATGTGGATCAGGGACTAGAGAAGACTGGGGGGGGGGGGAGGCAGAGGGGGCAGGGAGCTGGGGCTGGAGGTCTTGGCCTGAGGGCCTCCTTCCTGTTTGTAGGAAGTGACTGCCTCAGAGAGCTGCTTGGGGGAGAGGAGGGAGGCCATGGTGACTTCCAGGAAGCTGGCCAAGGGCCCGAGGCCACCCTCCCTGTGCCCACATGGGGCCTTCTGGCCCTGGCTTAAAATAGTGCAGTTCCTCCACTGCTACTGGGCCCAGCCCAGGCCTCAAAGGGCCACAGGCTGCCACT